GAAACAAATGAAGCGAACATGGAGAGTTTTTGTACTCTCGCCTGTTACTCGAGAGATGCTCGGACGCACGGTCTTCGTCATGCGAAACTCAGCGGTGTGTGGTTCAGATGGCCTGTGTGTCCGCATGCTGAGCGCCGGTTTCCCGTATATCAGTGACGTCATCCTTCACATTGGCAGCTCCTGCCTTGTCCATTCAGATACCCTCAGCGTTTGCAAATATTCCTGGTCCATCCCATTTTCAAGGCGGTAGCCCATCTGACCCTGTTACTCGAGATATATCTTTGAACTGGTGAGACCAATGAAACTGTGAGACTTTCGTTGCCCTAGCTTCACTCACTCGTCAATACAACGAGAAATTACTGACGTATCAAGCGCAACAGTTGACGAAACTGAAAAAAGTACTGTCATTGAGGTTGTTTGTCTACGTCTCCGGAAGGTACAGTTTGCGACCACGTCCACAGGTCACTTGCACAACACAGTTTTCCCTTACTGCGATTGTTACTATTTTGAACATATATGTCACGATGGCTTTTGCTCCGTCTGATTTGTTCCTTTTTCCAATGTTGTGTCGGTGTGCAGTTCCGTGTGAAAAAGTCATCTCAGTTTATGACATCAATGAGCCACTCGGTCAAGATGAAAGGTTGAAGTCTGCGGGCTTTCTTAGCTGCAAAAAGAGTCCCTGGAAATTACGATTGCAACTTTTGTCCATATAAGTGTTTCTGCAGCGTGCATCAATATACCGCGGTTTTTGATGGGATTGCTAAATGTTGACGCCACTGCAGGAGCAAATATTCGTAGACAAAACGCTATTGCTATCCTTGCTCTCACATGGCTTTCGCGCAGCGCAATACAAACCGTCAGCGATAGTCATAGGCTTTAGCGTGGATGATGGTAAGAAAAAAAGTGGATTACTTCAAGGTTACCTTCGTGTGGTGTGGTGTGGTTGCACACCACACAATACTTGGTTATTGTGTGGTGTGGTTGCACGACGTATCCACTGAAAGACAGCAAACACCATATAAGAACCTGGCTCTGGTTTTTCAAGAGAGATTTGACATTGTTACAATCGTAACGCGGTCGAATCATGATTAAGTTACATTGCAATAAGCTGATACTTTCTATTACTTGGAACATCCAGTATATTTTACTCTGTCAGTTGAAAGCTATCAATGCTGTCAAATCGAAGCTAAACACATCATCGCTGTTTTTTTAACTGCAAAAATCATACCAATTTTGTTTTTGAGCGTTTTATGTTCGGTGCTATGCAAAACAAACTACGGAAAGGCGCATTTATTCGGACAAGCCGTGTCCTTGCATGTGGTGAAGCATCATGTGACTCGGCTGGTGAAAAGACAGCATGATGCCAGCAGCCAGGCGTTACACACTGAATGCAGCTACATCGCAGAAGCATGATGAAAAGCAGGTGCCAAGATTCAAATGTATCGGTGAGTATTAGAGGAAGATTGACTAGAAAAAGAGAACCTGTTTGAACAGCTGCTGGTCACCCTGGGTCTGCAAGGGATGCCATGTATACATTGTTTGGTATGAACCTATGATTGCCGTCATTACTAGTTTCCGATGCAAAATACATTGTACAAATACAGAGAAGAATTTACAGGCATGACACTGTTGAGACGACAAGCATGTGATATCTTTGACTTGTTATGTCACACTTTCGCAAGCCAGGCTCAGCAGATTTCAGCCAATACAAAATAGCAATGTTTTGAAATGAAAATAAGCCGTGGGCAGCATGGTCGTGGGTAAATTGGGACATTACATCATATTTGTGAGGGCCAAGCGATTTGCATTTTAAATGTCAGTTTAAGAATTCGCCATGATGCTGATTACCTTCACGTTATGACGTGCCTCACAACTTCGTTAATGTTAACTGTAATGCAAGGCAAAAGAAGGATCAGCCTTTGGTGTGATTTGTGTTGTGTTCGGTGAGAAAACACATAACACCGGATGATTCACAGACATTTTAGAACAGCATGAAAACTATCAGCAATGGTGCCGTAACTAGGCGAACAGTGAGAAAGAATTTTGTGATGTTCTCAATCCCTGGTCACGGCAAGGCTGCTCTGTTTTCTGCCCAGGCTTCCATCAGACTGTGGCAAAGCCCACCAACCATCCCGCTCCGCGACTTGCAAGTCTCTGATACATTCTGACAATCAGCGCCTGTGCAGTCTCAAACACGGGAGAGCAGCGACGAGCCGATCAGCAGGCCCAGCAAGCCGCCCACGTCGGCCAGCATGTCGGTGGCCGTGTAGGTGACGAAAGTGTGCATGGTGCGCCGGATCTCCCCCAGCCGCAGCTGCAGCTGGATGGCATCCGTCCCGCTTGACCACATGCTCGGACGGATGTAGTAGCCGAAGCGATCGATCACGCATGGCGTCGGACATGGGCAGGGCACGCTCGCCATGGTGATCGGGTCAAAAATGAACATGTTGTACGCGTCGTTTAAGGTAGGAGTCAGATACCAGGGGGCTTGCGTGGCCTGGCAGCGCGGCTTGGCGTCGTCAAGGCTGTCGTTCTCAAGGCTGCAGTTGAGCCAGTCGAAGTAGCAGCGACGCTCGCAAACGACCTCGTTGTAGTGTGGGTCCTCCTCGCACGGCGCTCGTCGGAGATTCGGTCGCACCTCGCGGTCAATCGTCACGAATAGCTCCTGGCGGGTGGACGTGTTGGTGACCGTGAATGTGGCCTGGTGTCTTAACGGTGGCCCCCAGAAATCTGGGTTGCCATGAATGATGATGTCGTAACTGAAGACAGCGTTGTCTGCCCATGAAGTCTCGAAGTCGGGCTGGCGCCACAGCATGAGGTGACTGACAGAGGTACCGGACGGCGTCAGCGTCGCGCACACGCCGCCATTCACATAGTTGATGCTGCGCTCCCACCTGCCGTAGTACTTGGTAAACGTAGTGGTGCTGGCGTTGGCCAGGTATTCGTCTGTCTCCTTCAAGCCCTCTATCATGTCGACCAGCGGCAGACCGGATGTGAGGAACAGATCAACCAGCGATCGGTTACCGAACAGGCTTCTCCTCTCGTCCTCCGTTCCAAAGTGGACGATTTCCTTGGTGCTGCTGTTCATGTAGCCACTGGGACAGATGGAGATGGCTGGCCGCTGGAATGATGATTCCCAAACTGCCCTTGTTGCTGTCGGTTCGGCGACGAACTTCATGACTTTCCACCAAGTCAGCGTCAGCCAGGCGGCCAACAAGATAAAGGTCACCGAGTACTGCGTCACCTTTGACGGGGTGCAGCAGCGTGGAGGCATGACTAACGTGTCCCTGCCCCCCCCCCCCCCTTGGTCTGCGTCCGGCAGGCTATGAGACCTGGAGGGGTAATGGCGCTTTGTGATACCACGTGGCACACAGCTAGGTCTGCGAGAATGGCCCGAAGTTCGTGAATAATCCACCAAGGTGCGCGAAGAACCCACCACTCTATGCTAATCATACAAAAGCTCACGGTTAGCACCAGTCTGCGTAGAGCGACTTTCGACGGCTCTCCTCTTTCAGCACATAACACCAACGGCCGGCCAATGATGAAGCAGCTGAGAAGGTGTGAGGTGCTCTTTCCACTGGTACCGCCAGACAGAAACTGTCACCAGGCTGCGTGGCGCGTGCCCCGAACGCTCGCTGAAATAGGCGCGCCCAGGCTCGAGGGTGGGAGAGGCTTGATAACGGAGCATGGTCTCACTTCTCAAACCTCGATGGGTTGTTCGATGGAATATTTTTTCGATTTTTTTCTCGCAATCTCGAAGCTTCTCCCAGCAGAGTGCTCAAAAACACACAGACCACTCGAACACACATTGTATGTTCCTACCAATCGTGGCCAACGGTCAATATGATAGCGCATCCTTCATTAGAGAGAAGCTAGAGGATATGCTAGTCTTGACAAAAGGCAGGAAGGAGACTGCGCACTTGCCGCTGGTGTAGCCGCCCCGGGTGCTCCCCGGGATCGGTACCAACAGCTTATGCGTGATCGGGGATTGTAAGGATCTTGAAGGAGCTCTCCTAGGAGGTTGATGGCGGGAAAAAATGAATGAAAGCAAGGTTCTTCAGATTGGTTGCGCGAAATGCTACAACGTTAAGACGTTAAAACAAAATGCGTGTTCAGTTGTTTATAACCATGTAAGAAGAAGCGGATTTCGCATCGCTACCCAACTGGAGGAGAGACATTTATCATACATTACGGCTTTCTAGTGGAGTCCGAAAACCAAGAGACTTATGCGTCAAAATTTTCAGCAAATTTTCTGTCATCATTTTGACATACTTGCAGCACTTCCAAGCCTTATCTCGAGTCAAGTCGTCACCACAAGCGAGGACAAATGGTCTAATGCTCGAAAAGATCTGTCGCCCCATTTTCGCGGAATGGCATATTTTGAGAAAAGGCAGACATTTGAAAGAAATGTCTGCAATTTGAAAGATAAACATCATATTACGAACATCTTTGAATGACAGTGATACACTAAACAGGGCTCAACAACTCTGTCTAGTCTCTGACATTTTTCCAAGCAGTGGTTCAAACAGTGCATTTGATCGTCACTATCGCTCACTCTATCCACCGTAGCAAATGAATAAGCTAGACAAATAGGTGAGAGAATAAATTTCTCATTTGATGTATCATCCGCCGTGTTCCGCAAGTCAGCGCTTGGTTATTGTTTTTCATTCTGCGCGCGAGCGTTTGAGGTACGAAAGTAAGCTAAATACAACTTAAATTCGAAAAGACGGGAGGCCAGTCAACATTGGCCCTCCTGTTTCCAAACTGAAGACACGGCCTCTTGATCCCCCACTCCTATGCCCATGCATTATTGTACCGTCATGCGACGTGTACGTTAGTTTGCACACTCACCCATTTATCCTACAATCAAAGACAAAACAGTATTTAGGGATGTCTTTCGATTGTATAACTTCACCTATTATGGCGCAGCTGAGACAACATTGGTGGCCTATCCGGCATGTGTTTTCCAGCATTCGCACATGGATGTGTGCTCCCGAGCAAGGCCCTCCCCCGAGGTCCTGTTTAGTATGTGCGTGTCTGAATTTAACTGCGCGGTTCATGGCACCTTCATATGTTTGTTTTACTGCATGCATTTAAGCATAGCAAACCTGTGTTATGGATGAGTGTTGATGCCAGTTCATGCCATAGTTCGGTGTCCAAAAACTTATTTCCAAAATGGGACAGGCACCTGGTTTGATTATGGAAAGCGGAAGGCCTGTTTTCGTTTGAATTTGAATGGATACCAACATGCTGAGGCTTGAATGTATATTTACCTACCTGTATGTTGATGTATGCACACAGTTTTGTCTCTAGTTTCTGCTGCATGCTGATATTGCTGTCAGTGTACATATGTCTGTATACTTGGTGGAGCATCCTGATTGCTGTTACCTTTTAATGTTCAGGGCTTATTTATTTAGTGAAATGCAGATATTGAGGTAATGTTTGGTTTGTCTTCTACGCAACAAGTTTACAAACAGTCCACCTGCTGATATAGATGCAACAACAGTGTTGCCAAACATTGAGCTCACATGCCTTGGACTCAAGCCAGTTGTAATCATGCCATATTTTCAGATTTGTTATGTGTGAAAAACATTTGAGGGGTTTTCCCCAAATTAATTTTGCATCAGTATCCCTTGAAACACCAGCTCTCTGACCAAAATAGGTGACAGACTATGCCAAGCTCAGAGTATCCAGATTTACAGCATACATGCACTGAAAATTTTGTGGTGTTGATAGCACACTGGAAATGTTCTTGACATACCATGTGCTCTCCAAGTCTGGTTGGACAGTTCTGACAGGGCACTGGGAGTTGGGACTAGAATATTGTATTATGATGAGACAGCCTAGAGATGAGGATATGATCTAGTTCATTGAACCTTTTTGGCCAGTAAAGGAGGAATTCATATGGTATATCCTTAACATCAATTATAAGTTGGGCAGACAGAGAAGACTTTAGAGCACTTAATTTCTTAGTGCTATATCCAAAAGGATTTTTACAGATTTTGTAAAGGATTGTTTATTATATATTTTTTAAACTGGCTTGTATGTGGAAGTGCTGTATATCACTGCAATGTGTGCAATAATGTTTCTTCCATATTACAGAAATATGGGCAATAAGAGGCAAAAACTGCTCGCTGCAGCCCAAGAAGATCTATCTGCTGGTAAGAAGTCCTTGTACCAGATATTCTTCAATGAAGTCATTCCATAGCTCTTGTGTGCATGCTAAAAATTTCAAAATGGGAAAGATTAAGGTCCTACACTGCTACTTGTGGCAAATTTCAGTGTGTTACTTGTAAAAACAGTGATCAAGCTGCAAGCATGTAAAAGCAAGTGAACATGTTTGCTGTTAAAAATATGGGTTTTGGCGATTGACCAATGCATCTAGCAATTTCATGTTGCTTGAATCAAGAATGTGGTGCCATGTTTATTAAATCTTGTGTTAGCAGGCTTGAACTGTGCCAGAAGTCATATTATTGGATGCAGAAATCATTTTATCCTGGATTATTGAATTTTTGATTAATTATTTGACCTGAATTATTTAGCTTGGATTATTGCAGATTGCTTGGTGCCTGAGCGGAAACCATTTTTGATGGGTGTGTGGAGGTACAATGCAGAATAAAAAATACCTTGAGTGGATTTAAATGTGTTTTGTGTCTCTTTAGCCAAATTGTGTCCCTTTTGACCAAAAAGGCCTCACCAGGAATTCAGGCTGCGCATGTGTGTAACCATTACAAGCTCTCCCCACCTTCCAGGTGTTCTGGAAATCTTGAAAGATGACAGCTTAGGCACCAGCAAGCAGCTCAAGGCAGCTCGCAACATTCTCTTCCACTCGTCATGTCCCGTGTCCGTGTGTCGCGTGGTTGTGGACTGGCTGGTGGCACAATGCGCGTCCAACCCGCTGGCTGCCGCGACGATCGCCGAGATCCTGCCGGCGCCGGGGCTACAGCTGCTGCTGGAGGAGGACTCAGAGCTGCTGACTAGCCTGCTGTCTGCCGCCGTCACCGACGACGTGTCTGCAGACCGGCTGCTGCTCGAGTCGCTTCCCGCCGATCAGCTGGTGGGCCCGGCCGCTGCCGCGGCGGCGCGCGCGCTCAGTTCGCCGGCTGACCGCGGCGCGGCGCCACTGTTCCGCCGGCTGTGCGAGCGGCTGGCGGCGGCGGCGGCTCTGCGACGGCCAGCCGGCCTACGCGACGCCTACCTGGCTGAACTGCTGGTGCCCAGCCTGCGCCTGCAGGCGGCGCAGCCGGCGCTGACGCCCGCGTGCCGCGCCGCCTTTGAGGCGGCCGTGCTGGCCGAGGGCGACGCGGTGGGCGGCCTGCGCACACTAGCGGCCGGCGAGGGTGCCGCCGCGCCGCCGACCGCCCTCCAGCTTCTGCACGCCCTACAGAACCTGGCGGCGGCTGACGCGGCGGTCGGCGCCGAGCTGCTAGTGCTGCTGGCCGGGCCGCTGCTGCGCGGGCCGGCGCCGCTGCTGGGCGCCGCGCTGCTGGCGGCGCGCGCCGGCGTTACGCCGCCTGGCGCCAACGGCCTCCCGCTGCTGGCGCCCTGGGACGCGGCTGAGGCGCCGCCGCTGCCGCCGGCCGAGCTGGCGCCGGGCACACGGCTCCGCCTACTGGGCCGGCTGGCGCGGTGCGTCCGCGAGGCGCGGCTGCCGCTGACTGCGGCGGCGCGCGGCGTGACGGCGCTGCAGTGGCTGCGCGCCGCCGCCGCGCAGCTGCTGGACGGCGGCCTGCTGCGCACCGCCGCCGGGCTCGGCTGCGCGGCCGAGCTGCTGCGCGTGTCGCCGCTGGTGCTGCCGCTGCAGACGCGTCTGGGTCAGCTGCTGACGGTGGCGCTGGAGGTGTGCTGCTCAGCTGACGCCGCGGCGGACGGTGAGGCGGAGGGGAGCGGCCGTAATTGTGTGGTAGAGATGACCTCCCGCATGGTGGAGGTGAACTCCCGCCTGATGGGGTTGATTTCCCAAGTGATGGAGGTGACCTCTCGCGTGATGGAGGTGACCTCCCGCGTGATGGAGGTGACCTCCCGCGTGATGGATGTGACCTCCCGGGTGATGGAAGTGACCTCCCGTGCGATGGAGGTGACCTCCCGCGCGATGGAGGTGACCTCCCGGGTGATGGAAGTGACCTCCCGTGCGATGGAGGTGACCTCCCGCGCGATGGAGGTGACCTCCCGCGTGATGGAAGTGACCTCCCGTGCGATGGAATTGACCTCCCGCGCGATGGAGGTGACCTCCCGCGTGATGGAAGTGACCTCCCGTGCGATGGAAATTGGACCTCCGCGTGAATGGAGGGTGACCCTCCCGGGTGATGGAAGTGACCTCCCGTGCGATGGAGGTGATCTTCAGCGTGATGCAAACGTGACAGGATGCTGCCAATGCCAGGTCACACTGGGCCCTGTCTGTGTCGATCGTGCTGACGCTTCTTCTAACACAACTTGGAGTGCGACATGTACTTTTTAGTTGGTAATGTACGTGTATGTGTGCTGGGCAACCAAATCATAACGGATTCATAATTTGAGGAGCTACTGGGCCACTTGTTAAAAAGCTTTAGATTAGTAAGCATGTAGTTTTCGTGACGTTTATTATTATATCATTGTTATTATATTATTGTGATATCATATTAAGCATCATTAAGCATGTGCCTTTGGTGACATTTAGTTTGTAGTAAATTGCCAGGGTGCGTCATGGGCGTGACCCATGAAGCAGGCAGCCAGTGAGGTCTGGGAGCTTTTCTCTCCACCCTGGTGTGTGTACAGGCATGGCCAAAGTATATTGTTGCTAGGAAGTGTGAACCGTTTCAATGGCGTGATCTCTTTCTGTTGGTGAAGTTTCAAGTTCGGTGTACTCTTCTCTCCAGACGCCGTCGCCGCCTCTGACTTGGTGCAGTTGGTGATCACCACATACGCCGACTTGCACCAGCTACCGCGGCTGCTGCCGCAGCTGCTGCTGGCGGCGCGCGCCTCGCGGCAGTTGCAGCTGCAGCTGTCGGAGTCGCAGCTGGCCCAGCTGGCCGCCCGGCTCACTGCCATGCCGCAACAGCACGTGGCCGGCGTGTGGAAGACGCTGCTGTACCATGTGACAGAGGACGGACTGGAGGCCATGCGCCGCGGAGAAGAGCCCACCGGTGAGAGGCACAGTCAGCTGACTGTGACGTCACCGGAAAAGGGTTGCTGGGGCTGGAGTCGACTTCTCTTGGAAGGGGAGTAATGGTTTGCGTTCTAATTCAGATGCTTAAGCAGAGCATTTGTGGCCTTGGTGTCGAGTTCGGTCGTCTCCGATAAAAGGCAGCCGTCTCAAGAAAATAGTCTTGGAGGGAAAGAACTACTCAGTTGTGATGTGACCCTGGTAATCATATGTTACCGCGATTACCAGTGCGTTATGAGTTTTTTTGTCATGTTTGCAGTCAGTTTTCGTTCTGTATTGGAGTAGCTTACAGCGCATGATTAAAACAGGTGAGGACAGGTCTGCTGCGATCGGATCTGGTTGGTAACGACGTGCGTTCCTCATTCCAGACGCAGCCTCGTCGGTGTTTGTGCTCACATTCCAACTGATAAATTGTTTTCTGAGCCACGTGGCCGTCATCGATCAGTCAACCACCACGGCCGCCACGCGCACCCTGTTGCCTGACCTGATGACTCAGACTTGCGAGGCACTGCAACAGGTGGCAGCACTGGTCACTAGGCGGTATCAGGTAAATCACGGACTGTTTATGTTAAAATGTCATCCAAAGATTGCATTTGTGATTAATCTTTTTCAGAGTGTAAGTGGTGAGTGACAAACTGATTGTATATGGACATCACTTAGCATATTTCTGTGTGAGAGTGTTATCATTTTATTCTGACCTAGTTCCTTCTCATTTATGATGAAATGGTGTGCCAACACCTGTTTTAAGTTTTAAGTTGTTTTTTGTGGTGCTCACGATTGTGGCGTGCTTATGGCTTACGAAACCAACTAGAAAGTGTTATTGTATGGGAGGCTCTTATCATCATTCGAAATATGGAATGCTTTTCCAACACTATAAAAACCATCGGCATAAAATGACCGCGGATGTCGACGCGTTCTTAAGCCCAAATAACAACTGTCAAAGCGACGCCGTCATCCGAGGTCTACTCAGCCTAATCTCTCCTCACCACTGGAGAGAGAGGAGAGACGCTTGTCGAGCCGCCCTGACCGCCGCCTGACGCCCTCTTCCCATCGTTTACAGAGCAGTGCTCACCTGGGCGGCCTGCTGTCCGCGTGCCTGGCCTGGCGCCGGCTCCAATCCGCCCTGCTCGCCTACTGTGACGAGTACCGGCAGCAGGTGGCGTCGGCACTGACGCGGGCGGACGAGCCGCTCGCGCCTGACAAGCGCTGGACGAAGCTGGCTAAACTGGACGCCGCCGGCCTGCCGCCCTGCAGCCAGCTGATGGTGGGTGATGACATCACTTGTTCTGAATGGGACCGGAGACGACTACAGATGCTGGTGTTCGCTGTGCACTTTCAGTTCGAAAAAATATTGTGTACACTTCTCCACTCGCACGTAATGCCGATTTTTAATAAAAAAATGTGCGGCTTTGCCTCCTTTGTTATGCAGGAGAATCAGTTTTTTGTCTTTGACATGTACTGTGGCGTTTCACAATGTCTCGATCTCCCCGAATGTTGTGCTCAAGGTTGGAAAGGTCTTGCCTCATTTGTAACATGCATGTGCTCCGAACATTTGCACCTACTTTGAAGAACGCCGCCGTGTCCATTGTTGACCGTTGTGCCGGCCGACCGAGGTGGGTCGCACGCTCCTGACACCGCCCTCCGCCCACCCCAGGCGGACCTGGTGGTGGAGGCGGCGCGCGTGGCACCGCCCGACTGGCAGCCGCCGTCGGGCGTGCCGCCGCCGCCGCCGCTCGACCCGCGCCTGCCGCGCCGGCGCCCTCTCCTGGGCGCGCCTCTGCGCCCTGCCGCCGACGGAGCTGGCCGCCGCCGCCGCCGCCGGCACCGAGTGCCGGGCCGTGCACGCGGCTGTGGCGGCGCGGCTGGCGCGCGCGCTGGCCGCCCTACCGGCCGCCAGAAAACGCAAGCGGCCGGAGGGCGCGCCGCCGCTGCCGGCGCTGGCGGCCGCGCTGTCCGACGCCGCCGCCGCCGTGGCGGCCGCCGACGGCGCGCTGCTGGACGCGGAGCCGGCGGCGGCGGCGTGGGCGGCGCTGCAGCCGGCGCTGGAGGAGGCCGGCGCGTGCCTGGAGGCGGGAGCCGAGTGGCGGCCGCCGCCGGACGAGGCGCGCGCCGAGCTGGCCGCCGCGCTGCGGCTGGTTGTCGGCTTGCCGCTGGAGTTTGTCTCCCCCGCGGCGGCGGCACTGCTGCTGCCGCTGCTCGCGCTCAGCCTGCTGGTGCCGGGACGGGATGAGCGCTGGGCGGAGGAGGGCGGTGACTCGGCGCCGCGGCTGGCCCTGGCGGCGCTGCCCGCGCTGCTGGCCGCCGGCCGCGACCGGCGACCGCTCGACGCGCTCCAGCCGCGGCGCCTGCTTGCCTGGCTGGCCGCCGCCCGGCCGGCGGCGCCCTCCGACGTCACACCGCGCCTGGATGACGTCACACGGGCGGTGCTGCGCGCCTGCGCCGGCCGGCGCGCCGTCGAACTGGCGCCGTTCGCCGAGGAGCTGCAGCGCGAGGTCCGCGAGGGTGACGCTGACCTGGAGGGCGGTTAGCTCGCTGGTGGACCTGCTGACTCACTACGTCCAGGTGCGAGACGACCACAACGCGACACGACATGACACCGTACCCATGGCTTAACGTCGTTTACCGCGGCGAGAACGCTTTGTATTTATACTTTACTTTTTTTGTTCATGTAAAGAAATGTTTGTGTTGTTGCACAACTAGACGTTTGTTATCTTAAAAGAGCCTGTAGTTTGGTTACATATACCTTAAGTTGTAACACAGGATGTGCACAGACAACATACCATGCAGCCATAACACAAGCTGTCTACCTCAGCTCAGTAAGCTTGTTGCTTTCAGTTTTTCTAGCCGCTCATTACGTCCTTTAGGAGAGGGCGAAGCGTGCTGGAACTGTGCTAGTCAACATGCCGCTTAGCAAAACCTGTAGCTGCTGAGCGACGCGTCCCACTCTATAGATCCGGCTGGGGGTTTGGTCCCGCAGTCGCGACAGCCGCCTACGCGATCGACTTCTGTATATTTGTATTGGTATCGCCATTTACCATCGCTGCAATATGCTCCGTTTCTGTTGTGTCGGCCACTCTTCTCGCGCCCCCGTAAATAAGTGGTCGGTTTGGATGGCGACCACACGCAGCTATCATTTTGCAACCGTAGGCGATCCCATTCCCGGAGCGGCTTCCTCCAGTGAGTGGCCATCTTCGTCATATCGCCCGTCGCAAGTGTACACCCGCTGCGTTCTCCGTTATATCACCCCATCCGCCCTCCCCCCCCTCCCCCCCCCCCCCACCGACCGGTGACCTCCCCCCTCGTGCAGGCCAATCAGGAGCTCAAGTGCGCCGACGTCACCATCAAGCAGCAGGCCAAGTCGCTGTCGTCGGCGCTGCCGCGGCTTCTGGCGCGTCACGAGCTGTCTCGGCTGCCGCCGGCGGCGGCGCGGCGCGCCATGGCCGGCCTGGCGCTGCTGATCCAGCTTCGGGCGCACAAGCCCGCCTCCGCCCGGCCGCTGTGGCGGCGCCAGCTGGCCGAGCTGTACCCGCTGGCGCTGGCGGCGGCTGGCGGCGACGGGGGCGGCGCGGCGGAGGAGGCCTGGACACTGCTGACAGCGGCATGCGCGGCCCGCGAGCACCTGCGGAACGACCTGCCAGACTCGCTGGTCACGGTGAGGACGGGCTCGCTGGTCACGATGGGGACTGACTCGCTGGTCATATTAGGAACTGACTCGCTGGTCACGGTGAGGACTGACTCGCTGGCCACGGTGAGGACTAATTCACTGGTCACGATGAGGACTGACTCGCTGGTCACCGGACTGACTTGCTGGTCACGACGAGGACTGACTCGTTGGTCATGGTGAGGACTGACTTGTTGGTCACGATGAGGACTGACTCGTTGGTCATGATGAGGACCGACTGGCTGGTCACGGCGAGGACTGACTCGTTGGTTACGATGAGGACCAACTGATTGTTTACAGTGAGGACTGACTCGCCGGTTACGATGAGGACTGACTGGTTGTGAGGACTGATTCGCTGATGACGTAGAAGGCTATGTCGATGGTCAGAATGAGGTATGGTTGGCTGTTCATGGCTCGTTTACCGGGATGTTGATTGGTGGACCAGTCCCAACGACTACACGCCACGCATTGTTCCGCAGGATATCCTGCTGCACCACTCTGATTTACATTGCAACCTGTAACATGTTCAGCGGAAAATGGGGCAGTGCGTCAGTCCCAATGACGTCACACTTTGCAGCGTCTCTGGCAAGACTTGTGACGGTGTTCTTCATTCATTGGTGTCGCGCTACGTGGGGTAGTCATGAGGGCCTCTGATGCTTGCTCCAGTGACGGCACACTCCGTACGGTGTTTGTCAGGACGTGTGGCGGTGCGCCCGCTCCAGTGACGTCACAGCCGGTGACCTGCGGGCCGTGCTGGCGGCGGCCGACAGTGAGGAGGTGGCTGACATCGTCTCACAGCTCACCGAGGACACGGTGAGAGAGGCGGCTCGGCCCGGCCGCGCCATGGACGCCAGCGCTCTCAGCTCCGTTCTTTGATGTTAAAAGCTGGGTAGGCAAACTCCCGCGGCTCTAACTTGCAGCGTGGTCACGATGATAGTGTAGTGGAGAGGATAGTACGTTCGAATGAAGACATTGAGATTCGCCTGGTACAGCACAACTTTGGGTCAGTTACCAGAACTGGACCACACCTTGGTCTTGTTACGGTTTGCAAGAGGCTTGGTTCGGATCTAGTTTACATATATCGAATCCATCAATAATTCCTTATTCATGTGGTATGGGTACCACTATTGCGTTCATTGTACTAGATAGCTGAGATGGCTTAGTGCTCAATCTCTGGCTGAATCATTTGGAAGTTTTTGGTGTTTCGGTCATCTGTTTACAGCCTTTTTATTATGCTTTCCAGCGATGGAGGCCGCATGGAGTGTGCAGAGCTGCGTTTACCGCCCTCACTTGCAGTGGGACCAAAATACCAAACCTATAATTTCATTCTGCCCGACAGATGGCTCTGCCGTTGCCGCCGACGCCTGACCGCTGGCTTCGTCTGCTGGCCGCCTGGCGGGCGCTGGCCGAGACGCGTCTGTCGGAGGGGGGCCGCACGCACCAGCGCCGGGCGCTGGCGCGGCTGCTGGGCCGGCTGGGCCCGGCGCTGGCACTGCGCTCCGGCTGGGTACCGGACGAGCTGCGCCATCTGCTGCTGCCGGCGCTGCGCACCATGGCGGCCGTGGCGCAGCAGAAAAACGTGCGTTGTGGGGACGCGATCGCCGTGAAGTGGCGTTGTGCCTCTAAGCTGATGCTAGACGGAGGTAGTCCACATCGTGCGCCTTTGTCTGAATTGTGCTCACTGGTTTTGGTCGTAGGAGCTGCGCACTTTGGCCGCACTGTTTGTCAGCTTGTTCGTTTATCAGCTTGTTCGAAGTATGTTTGGTACGTTGTTAGACCGCTTCTCTGTGCATTTGCCTGGAGACTTTCGTGACGTAATCCGTCTATCTATAATCCTTGATAAACCCGGTGTAGCGCATGTCCAGGAACATCGCCATAAGGAACCTGCACAACCTCAGATGTTCTATTTTCTTCTCATTTATTTACGCTCTTCTCTTCCCACTCTCATAATCCCATTGTTATGATGACCTAGTGTCGAACCAGATACGAGTCGGTCTGTACTCTCAGACCACGGAACTAGCCCTTGTGTGACCTGATCATGACATGACCCCTTTTAGCTGCGACCAAGCTGTAGCCAGGCCTGAGACCGACCTGATCACTACATGGTGTAGCAATGACCCGGCGAACCGGACGCGACCTGACCAGCTTTCCCGCATGCCATGACCTGAACACGACCCCTGTCTGACCGTGACGATCGTGACGTGACCTGGCCGCGACCTGACCGCGACCTGACGGCGACCTGACCGTGACCTGACCGTGACCTGACCGTGACCTGACCGTGACCTGACCGCGACCTGACCGTGACCTGACCGTGACCTGACCGTGACCTGACCATGACCTGACCGTGTCCGTCAGGTGCGTCTCTCTGACTCGGCGTACACCAGCTGCCTGCTGGCGTGCCGGCCGGACCTGAGCCGGGCGGCCACCGAGGACGCCTGCGACGTGCTGCAGGCCGTCTGCGAGCTGCTGTACCAGCTGACCTCGGCCCACCCGGGCCTGGTGGCCTCCCGTGCGCCGCTGCTGGTGCAGGTGAGCGGCCGGCGCCGGTCGGAGCGGTGCCATTGTACCGCTCAGTGATGGTGAGCTTGCTCGCTATCCGACCGTGCTGGCAGCGTCAATATATATATATATATATATATATATATATATATATATATATATATATATATATTAACGATGAGGCCAGCATTAAATGAAGCAATTGCTGGGAAGTTTTTGATCCCTCTGATTAAGTTCCACCATCCAATAGTACACAGCGTGCCGCCACCTTAACAGCGATAGGAGGAGGAAAAGTAACGCCTCATACGGCACCTGTGGGATGTCCGGCAGCGGTAATCGACCAGAGCATTCAGCAGAGTTTCGGTATGACGACCGTTGCTGCTGGTCCGTTGGGTGGGCGCCGCTGGCGCCGCCACGGTGGCGACTGTAGTGACGGGCTCGGCTCGGCCTGCTGCAGGGGGTGGAGTTCGTGGCCTCCGAGCTGTGTCCCAGGAGTAGTCAGGAGCTGGCGCGCTCGCCCGAGGAGCAGGCCGCGCTCGTCGCCACCGCCAACAAGCTGGGACGGTACGTGGAAGCAGCCTCAGCTGCTCACTGGCCTGAGGGTTGGAGGTGGGGCGGGGGAGGCGGGGAGGCGGCGAAGCGGGGAGGTGGGGGGGGGGGGGGGGGGGAGGGAATGGGGCAGAGGTGGAACCCTGTGTGGCGCTTGGAGGCAGCCTGCGCCGCGATCAGCTGCTTGGGAGCCACGCGGCAGTTGATTTGTGAACGGGCTCCTATTCGGCGGTATGTCAAGGCTCAGTACTTCGCTGCCTGCGTGTTGATTATTCGCGGCGTGACGCTTCACGCGCTTCCCATACCGCGCCTCCCGCATGCCCGGGACAGCCCTGCCGTCGTCCGCGGCGGCCGCGTCCGTAAGCCGTGGTTCGGCTCCGCTCCGCCAGGGTGGTGCGGGAGCTGGTGCAGCTGGGGCCGCTGACAGAGCTGCTGGCGCCCTACCTCATCGCCGACGTCCTGCTCCAGTTCCAGCGCACCACGCTCGACCACTATGTGCAGGCGAGTTGGCGCAGTTGGCGGCGTTTCAGACGTCGGAGCGGGGGACCTGGGTCTGATCCCCGTGGTCTGCGTTAAGTCATGGCTGGCGCTGTTCCGACAACAGACTTGAGGGACTGGTCGAGGTAAATGCGTGGCGGTGCCGCGTGCCTGGGAATAGAACAGTTCTATGCAGGAGCAGTCGGGCCGGTTCGGACGTTCGGTGAGGCGCTCCGTGATGGGCGACCGCCTGGCCAGCTGAGCCCGCCGCCTCGCCGTCAGCTGTGCGAGACATTGACGTGTGGCTGTCCGTGCCCGTCAGGAGTCGCTGACGTGTGGCTGTCCGTGCCCGTCAGGAGTCGCTGACGTGTGGCTGTCTGTGCCCGTCAGGAGTCGCTGACGTGTGGCTGTCCGTGCCCGTCAGGAGTCGCTGACGTGTGGCTGTCCGTGCCCGTCAGGAGTCGCTGACGTGTGGCTGTCCGTGCCCGTCAGGAGTCGCTGACGTGTGGCTGTCCGTGCCCGTCAGGAGTCGCTGATGTGTGGCTGTCCGTGCCCGTCAGGAGTCGCTGACGTGTGGCTGTCCGTGCCCGTCAGGAGTCGCTGATGTGTGGCTGTCTGTGCCCGTCAGGAGTCGCTGACGTGTGGCTGTCCGTGCCCGTCAGGAGTCGCTGATGTGTGGCTGTCTGTGCCCGTCAGGAGTCGCTGATGTGTGGCTGTCTGTGCCCGTCAGGAGTCGCTGATGTGTGGCTGTCTGTGCCCGTCAGGAGTCGCTGATGTGTGGCTGTCTGTGTCCGTCAGGAGTCGCTGATGTGTGGCTGTCTGTGTCCGTCTCCGTGGTGGGGGGAGAGGGGGGGGGAGATTGCGTGCCCCAATGATCCTGCGGGCGGTTAGGGAGGCTTGTAAAGCGCCCCTTCCGGCCAAAGAGGAGGGGCCAGACGAAACGTGCCTCTCGCAAGGGCTCTGACTCGTTCAGAGTAGGGATTAGCAACCCCTCGGCCCCAGCTTTTCAGTCTTATCTGGGTCTCGCCGTACCCCGTTGGGTCCGCAGGTAGCGATGAAGGGATCCTGGTCACTGAGGGAGTTGCCCTGCGGGTCAGTCGGGGCAGCTTACTAACACGTGGCTTTGGCCGAATTTGTGATCCTGCGGATGCTTCGTGAAGTCTTCACACGAGGAAATCGGCTGGTCAGGCGTCGTGTTTTCGTGACACTGGCTTGGAGGCAAGCAGGTCATGTGACGGGTGTTGAGGGGGGAGCTGCGCGGTGCAGCGTCTGCCTCCTGACATCATTAAGGGGCCGTCCCTCGGTTTGTTACCAGGGTGCCTGGTTAGCACCTGCGAACCAAGGCACTGGCGCCGCAGACTCGTAGTCCGGTGGCTCTCGCAGCAACTCTTTTGGCACACTGGTCTGCGTATAGCGTGCTGGTACCCCTGGCGGCTCCTCTCTTAGAAGAGGACCGTCCCCGTGTTGGGCTCCATGATGGGCGGGGAATCAGCGCGCCGAATATAAACACATACTTATGGACACCTTATCATCAACCAACCCCCCAAACCCCGACCGTCGTCCACTACCCCAGTTTCTGGTCGTAAGACCCGCCAAAGTAGATGACCAAGGAAGAACAGTACCGCTCCGACTGAATCCATTTCAGCGCCAACAAGCATTTTCAAAGATCGGGACGCCCAAGGATGCCTTTTCGTATGCGGACGGAGGCATATAAGTGCGTCTAACAGACGAACGCAAGATCCAGCGCATGCTTAAGACGACCACACTTATCTACAAAGTACGAGGACAGGGAGAGGTTAGGGTGCCCGTATCGGTGCACCCTCACGCCTCTAAGAACTACTCCAAGGGTGTGATTACTTGCCGGGACCTTCGCGGTGTGAGTGATGAGGATGTTTCTGAGGGCTTGTGTGAGGAAGGGGTAACGGCGGTGAGACGTATCAAGAGGAGAGAGAGAGAGGAGAGCTGATCGATGCTGATTCAATTTTTCTGACGTTTTGCTCCGCGAGAGTGCCAGATAGGGTCCGCGTGGGATATCAGTTCGGTCCCTGTTAGGGTCTATGTACCCGATCCAGTCCGGTGCTACCGATGTCAGACGTATGGTCACTTCACGGACAATTGCTGGAAAGAAGTTAGATGCGGAAGGTGTGCGGAAATAGGTCACCAACACTCTGAGTGTAAATCAGAAACTGTGAAATGCGTCAACTGTGGTCAGGGTCATGTGGCGTCATATCGTAGTTGTCAGTCCTCCTTGTCAGAGAAAGCTGTCCTGAGCATCAAAGTGAAGGAAGTAGCCTCGTTTCGGGAGGCCCAACGCCGACACAACGATGCGACCACCACAAGGACATACAAAGACGCCCTTACTAATCCGGCAAGAAATTTAGCCCAAGTAACACCCGCAGCCAACGAGGTACTGAAGCTGAGTGGACTTGATGATTTTAAAGGCATGACTGTAGGCGAGTTTGTACAGCTGATACTAAGCACACTTGTATCAACTGGCTCTGCTGTTCCGTCGTACCGGAAGTCGGATCCTCCGAAAAAGAATCCACCTGCGGCATTGGCCGTCGCTAGAGAAGGCTCAGCCTATGGGGTTGGAACCCCCTGGTGGAGCTGCCAGAGAGCCCGAGGCTGGGTTGCGACCCGGGAACGGGGGGGGGGGGGGTGGACCGCGGTCCAGCGAGGCCGTGGACTTCGCCCCCCGTCATCGCACCCCGGCCCAGCCCGTGCTGAAGACACGCCCTCCCGGGCTCCATCTCCCCCTCCATCCATACCAGCTACGACGGGATCTGTCGTCGCTGGCACAGGGGCGCTACGAGAGCTGACCCCCTCTGGCTCCCCAGCTAGTGGCCCTGCCGGGAGTGCCGCGCCCCCCCCCCCCCCCCCGGCTCACGGGAACCGGACAAGGTTCGGCATCCCCCAGTCGTCGCTCTCTCCCGAAGCCGCCCTTCTGAAACTTTTGTTCGTCAGGGTTCTCTGGACCTTGGCCCTGCAGGGCGCGCCGCCAGGTCGGCGTCTGCACAGCGGACGGGGGGCCGGCTTCCGCTGTCGACTCCGCCCCACTCACCGGGAGGGTCAATGGGTCCGCCTTCCATTCCTCCACCTGGGGACGGCGTTTCGGGTCGGCCTACCCTGCAGTCCGCGGTGGCAGGTCGTGCAACAAAGCGTGCCCCTCCTTGGCCGACGTCGCCTACGGAGGGTGGAAGTCCCCAAAGCTCCGAGGCCACATGGCACTCTTCATTGAAAACTTTTTTTTCGATTTCGTCGTCGATTTTTCCACGTACGAGTGAGTGGCATGCTATCCGATCGCTGTGAACAAGACAACGGTGTTCCTCAAGGGAGCGTCCTTATCGTAACCCTGTTTGCGCTGATGATCGATGATATCGCCGACTGTCTGCCACGTACCATTAGTCGGTCACTGTTTGTGGATGACTTTGCCATCTGGTGTGCAGCACCCACAACGACGTTTGCTGAGAGGCAGCTTCAGTTATGCCTGATTCGACTAACTGAGTGGAGCCTTAAGAATGGCTTCAAATTTTCGACCACCAAGACTAAGTGTATGCACTTCTGCTCACGGATTAGAGGCTGTAGAGACCCGGAGTTGCGACTCTATAATGCCGCTAACCCAGTTTGTAACATCTGTTTCCTGGGCCTCACGTTTGACCGTGGGCTCACGTTCAAGCAACACTTTAAGATGGTTGAGACTAAGTGTCTCAAGCGCGTGAACCTCATGAAAGTAATGTGTCGTATGACCTTTTGAGCCGATAGAAGCACCCTGTTGAACTTGTATAGGGCCTTAATTCGATCAGTCATCGATTATGCTAGCCCTGTCTACGATAGTGCTCCTACATCTTCAAAGCAGGTTTTGGACACAATCCACCATACATGTGTTCGTATAGCCAGCTGGGGCGTTCCGTACGACCCGAGCAAGAAACTTGCTGGTGGATGCGAACGAACCGCCCTTGCCTCTTAGGAGACGACGTACTTTGAACTACGCTACAAAGGTTTCACAATTTCCGGATCACCCAGCCTTTAAGTTCATCTTCTCTCAGACGTTAATCCGCTCTTTCTTGAGGGGGCGGCCCACGTCATCGCGGCCGATGTGCTTGCGCGTCCAGGACTGGCTGGACGAGGCGGATATTACGCTGGATGATATTGCCCCGCACACTCTTCGGGACCCAGCTCCGTGGAGACATCTGAGTCTGAAGTATGATTTGGAACTTTGTCAGCATCATAAAAATGGCACTTCACCACGAGAGTTCCTCACCTATTCGTTGGAACAGATCTCACTATACGCGGACTCATTACAAATATTCACTGATTGGTCCAAGGGCTCAACGGGAACGGGTTGCGCATTTGTTTGCAGTGACCATACCGTAGGTATATGCCTCCCGCATCACATGTCAGTTTTTTCCTCAGAACTGTTCGCTATTTTAGCAGCGCTTCAGTACGTTGCTTCTGGTCCTGAAAGAGATGTAGTCATTTTGACCGACTCACTCAGTGCACTTTTTATCATTAGACCCGACGGCGATGTCGCGTGACCACTCATTTTTGACGCGCTCAATCTGGGAGGAACTGAAATGGCTGGACAACACTTCCTGCCGTATCACATTTATGTGGATCCCCAGCCACATAGGGATAATGGGAAATGAGAAAGCGGACGCCGCAGCGAAAGCTGCGGCGTGTGAGAGAAAACCAATACCAATTTATGTTCCCGCTCGAGATCTGAAATCAGTCATTTCCAAATGCGTCCGCAATACGTGGCAGCACATGTTCGACCAACACCTTCACGCTTTCAGGGAAATCAAGCCCCAAATGGGTGATTGGGAATCCTCCCACCGTCGAAGCCGCTTCCAGGAAGTCGCCCTTCGTAGGCTTCGGTTGGGTCATACATATGCAACACACTCGTTTTACTTGACGCGCAGGGATGTGCCACGGTGTGATAGATGCGGGGACTGGTTGTCTGTAGAACATGTCCTCGTCTCATGCCGGCGCATTGAGACGGAGAGGCGACGATTTTTTCCTCCAGCGCCCCTTCATCGGTTACTCGGTCGAGACCCTTGTGGTGAACTTGGAGATATACTCGCATTTTTAGCACACATTGACTTTGACATTATTTTCACTCATCCCTCAGTGTAAGTGCGCCAGTGATGCTACCTGCTATTAGTTGACAACATACTTATCACGCCGTGGCAGAGGTAGATAATCGTCACCGAGTGGGCGCAAATATGCCCCGATGCCGACGCGCCCTTAAAAACCAAATCACCACCACCATATCTGTGTCCGTCAGGAGTCGCTGACATGTGGCTGTCTGTGCCCGTCAGGAGTCGCTGACGCGTGGCTGTCCGTGTCCATCAGGAGTCGCTGATGTGTGGCTGTCTGTGACCGCCAGGGGTCGCTGACGTGTGGCTACCTGTGCCCGTCAGGAGTCGCAGACACATGACTGTCTGTGTCCGTCAGGAGTCGCTGACGTGTGGCTGTCCGTGCCCGTCAGGAGTCGCTGACATGTGGCTGTCTGTGTCCGCCAGGGGTCGCTGATATGTGAATGTCCGTGTCCGCCTGGAGTGGCTGACGCGTGGCTATGTGTGTCCGCCAGGAGTCGCTGACGTGTGGGTGTCTGTGTCCGCCTGGAGTGGCTGACATGTGGCTGTCTGTGTCCGTCAGGAGTCGCTGACGCGCAGCCTGTACTGCCTGCTGACCCAGTGCCGGGACGAGGTGGTGACGCGGCTGCGGGTCACCCTGCCGCCCGCCACCCAACACCTCTTCCACACGCTCTTCGTCAACTACAAGAAGTTCTACAAGTTCGCTGGCCGTGTGTAGTGTAGCTGGTGGTCGGTAGATGGCAGGGGCAGCAGCGGGTCTGCCAGTGTGGGCAGTGGTTGTCTTTTTCTGTGCGGAAAGGAGTGCATACGACATGTCAATATACTGACTTGGACCATACGCGTGCGTGGAGCTGTCTTGCGAAATCAGTAGTCAGAAAGGGCTTACGTTGTGCGTTTTGACCATGGGTGTTCATCAAACGGCCCTCGGAAAGAGCAGAAAGTGAGTCGCGCAACAGCGTACATGGTGGACACATAGCCACTGGTGACTACTTTGGAGAAGATCAAAAACACACAGGCTCTCGTCGACCCATTCGGTGGCCACACACCCGTCTGGCACGACCTCAGCAAGTGGTTTGCTCCTATTGCGGCTCTCAGCCAATGAGTCCTTTTTCGCTTCGTCGTTCTCGTCGCTTTTCCGTTCGCACTAGCTCCAAACACACCTTTTTGCTTAAGTTTTGTTGCTCCCTTCTCGCTCCCCTAATATGGGGAAGCGAAGTAAGCGCAAGAAGGATGATACTGACACGGACTCGAACTCGGCCTCTGACCTTGATAATGCCCTGGATGTAGACGACGGGAGTGCCGCTAGCCCCACTTTGGCTGCCACTTCGCCTGATGACCTTCGCGCGCCCCAGGCCATGACCGTTGGTACGCACACTTCCACCGCGGTGGGTGGACAGCAGACCCCGTCTCCGTTCAACGCCCCCGGTTCCGACCCTCGCTCGTCTTTGACCACTCCGGTGCCTGCTCGCCCTGATGCTGACCCTCTCTCGACAATGACCAGTGTTCGCCGGCCCTCTGAGCCAATTCTGGATCCTCTCGGATCGTACGTCGTCGTCCAACCTTGTGATGAAAATGTGTCGTTTCGAAAGATCAACGTTTTTTGGCCATCATAGCAAATCAAGGCTATCTGCGGTCCATGCGAACTCAAAATTGAGGCACCAGCAAACGGATCACTCATCATCAAAACAACCACTCGCGCACAAACCAAGGCCCTACTCAAAACAGCTGAATTTTGCGGCAAACAAGTAAAAGTCTCCCTGCACCATGCCAGAAACACCAGTAAGGGCACCATCTTCGCGCCTGAACTCCGCTTCATGACGGAGGACGAGATCCTGACGGAGCTCAGAGATGAGCAAGTTTGCCATGTCCGTCGGCTGACGATTTTCAGAGATGGTCAGCGTCACGACACCAGCCTGCTCGTTATCACCTTTGGTACCACCCGACTTCTAGATTCGCTCACCGCTGGTTACCTTCGTTATAAAGTAAGAGTATTCATTCCAAATCCACTCAGGTGTTTTAAATGTCAACGGTTCGGACACGGCAGCAAGTTCTGCAAACAGAGTGCCAGATGCTTGAAGTGCGGCGAGACTCCTCACGAGGGATCTGCCTGCACATCACCCCAGAAATGCCAGAGCTGTGGAAGTGCTGATCACGCTGCCAACTCTTCTCAGTGTCCCACGTGGAAAAAAGAAAAATAAATTTGTTCTGAAAAGGCAAAGAGGTGTGTCGTACCCCGAAGCACGGCGCACCGTTTAATCCAAAATGTCGTCGTAGCCCAGCAAAACATATGCACAAGTAGCAAAAGCCACGATGGCCACATGTGCAACACAGACCGACCCTATCACCCATCTGCCTCCCCTGAAACTTCTCAACCCTCGCCCCTCGGTTTCAGCTGAGTTAACTACACAGACCCAGACGAAAAATGCCGTTGAGTCGCCCCTGGCTGGGCGCGCGGATGCCCAGGCGCCCGTGCACCCCCGTCCCCAGGTTGGGCGGCGTTCCAGCCCGCCGGCTGTGAGTGATTCACGTGCGGGTCAGGCCGTCCGGCGTTCTAGCCCCCCGGCTATGAACAGTCGGCGGCCCGGACCCTCTGGCCACCACACAAACATCACCTCCCCTTCCCCCACCACAACACCTGTCGAAACACGCCCGAACGAAGTCCGCCGGCCCCGTCCATCGGTGAGGGTGGCGATGGGACGGCCTCGGTCTGTTTCGTTCGGGCGATTCCCACCGACCGGTGGGAATGGATCCCTTCATCACTAAATGTCTTTCATCTTACAGTGTAATTGTCGCGGTCTCATTTCGAAATAGTCTGAAATGAAAGCACTTTTTGCCGTATTAGCTTCAATCATCACTGCCGTAAAGGAAACATGGTTTCGTCCCACAGACACATATAACTTTAAAATGCCAACTTACTCTTTATATCGCAGTGACACCACGGACGGTGAGCGTCGCCAAGGTGGGGTGGCGCTGCACATCAGTCAAGAATTAACACACACGCCACTCACTCTTAACACACCTCTTCAGGCTGTTGCAAGTTCAGTTCGACTGCATGGCCGTACCATCGATATGTGCTCAATGTATATTGCACCAAGTTATAATAATACGGAGCTCTTACGGCAACTTGACCAACTCGTTGCTCAATTTCAGAACCCCTTTCTCATCCTCGGCGATCTCAACGCTTACAGCCCAGCTTGGAGCAACGGCATCCAAGCCGTTGATCGCCGAGGACATTTGGTTGAAGATTTTATTGATCCACACAACTTAGTACTGCTAAACAGAGGCAATAATACTCATCACCACTTACCCACTGGTACAGAAGCAGCCATCGACCTGTCGCTGTGCTCTCCCTCAATAGCGACATACTTTGATTGGACTGTTGAGGGAGATATACACGACAGCGACCATTTTCCAATTAAACTTTACACCACTTTTGACGCAACCGCTGACGAAGTTTTGCGATCCATACCCCGCTGGAAATTACGAAAAGCAGACTGAGCCAAATTTCAAGAACTGTGTTATGTGAACCGAGACTGTTATGAATCACCAGAGCAGGGTGTTGGCCTTATTACACATATTATTCATGCTGCAGCAACCGCGACAATTCTACTGACTAAAACACCATCACGCCGCATCTCAGTACCATGGTGGACGACCGAAGTTAAGAACGGCTATTGCGCGTCGGAAACGTGCTTTCCGCTGCTTTCGTCGCCACCATAATGTACCTCATCTTCTTGCCCGAAATTATGAGCGGGCTCGAACCAGACGAGTTATAAGAAAAACTAAACGTCATTCTTGGCAAGCATACATCCAGCAGTTCACTGCTGCTGCTCCTCTAAGCCAGCTATGGGGACTGGTTCGAGCACTTTCCGGAAAACGCACCTCTATTTCATTGCCCACTTTACGCACAAACAACCAAATCATTTCGGCAACACCTCTTATCACCAATGCTCTTGCTGAAAGTCTTTCTCAGTGTAGCTCATCCGGAAATTACCAACCAGGATTTGTGGAAACTGCGCAAGCCCGTTTTCGTTTACATACTAATTGTTTTGCTTCCGATAACACCGAAGACTATAATTTACCATTTACATTTCTGGAACTACAAAAGGCTATAGAATCCGCCGGCAACACCTCAGTAGGTCATGATCAGTTACACTATTCTTTTTTTCGTAATCTTTCAGAAGATATGCTTCGTTTTATATTGGCAGTTTTTAATGATTTGTGGTCAACCCATGTCTTTCCTGACGCCTGGGAAGACACCATCATTATTCCACTTGCAAAGCCAGGAAAAGACACCAAAGATCTATCAAATTATCGTCCCATTGCACTTACCAGCTGCCTAGGAAAACTTTTTGAGCGGATGGTGGTGAAGCGAATCTCTTGGATTGTAGAACGAGACTGCCTGCTTACAAAAAATCAATGTGGTTTCTGACGCAATCGTAGCACAATAGACCATGTCATCAGACTTGAAACTGACATCAGACGTTCCTTTAAACATCGACACCACACAACTGCCGTATTCCTGGATATTAGCCGAGCCTTCGACATGGTCTTTAAACCTGCACTAATTTTCGAGCTCCATCAGTTAGGGTTTAAAGGCCATTTGGCACATTATCTTATTGGGTTTCTTTCCAGCATCAGACCATTTCGTGTGAGATGCAGATCCGCCGTTTCCGACACTCACCATCTAGAAAACGGCCTCCCACAGGAGAGCTGTATCTCACCAATTCTCTTTGATTTTATGATAAGCGATTTATTTGACTCCTTACCAGCGGGTATTTCCTCTTCACTGTTTGCGGACGATAGCGTGATCTGGTGCTCAGACGCTGAATATGACCATTCGCTGCCACGGCTCCAAGCCGCCCTAAACAAGGTGCAGCAGTGGTCAGAGCGATACGGGTTCCGTTTCTCCGCTCCCAAATCTGCAGTTATGATTTTCAGCAAAAATATGCGTGGTACTCCCAACTTTCGGCTTCGACTAGATGCACATTACATTCCTTTCGTTTCGTCTTTCAAATTTCTTGGCATCGTTCTTGACCCCAGATTATCGATGCGACAGCACGTGGAGCATGTTCGCTCCAAATGCCTAAAACGACCAAATTTCTTTAGATGCATTTCCGGGTCAAGATACAGTGCCGACCGCCAATCGTTATTACGTCTATACAAATCCTTAGTTCTTCCCATCATTGAATATGGCTCCGTGGTATATGCAGGACGCAGCCAACACACTCTCAAACCACTATCCACCATACAAAATATGTTTTTGCGAGTTGCCCAAGGAGCTTTGCGTACTTCCCGATTTCAGCGCTTGAAGTGGACGCTCACGTTATGCCTCTTGCCCTCCGACGAATGGAACACACATTGAGATACATAACAAAAGTGCGACAAAATCCCAGTCACCCAGCATTTAAATCCATACATATCTTACCTCACATTCACCATAACTACCTAGATCCGGCAGAACTTCGCTCAGGACTTACAATAGCATCTTGAACCACTATCTACTGTACCACTCTTCAGTTTACTTTGCCGCCTTCCTCCGTGCCACCTGCTTTAATAGTACCACCAAGGCAGTTAACCCCTTGGAAAGTTTTGTTTCATTTTGATGATCCCAAACGCATTTTCACAACAAGTTATGTTCAACAAACATTTAATCGTCTAATTTTCAACAATCAAAATAGCAGCTATATTTACACCGATGGCTCCAAGGCCAATAACCACACCGGATGTGCAGTTATTTGCACTGAGCATTACCATAACATTGTCGGTTACTGGATGGCACCTCAGTATATTTGGCTGATTTATTTGCTCTTTTCCTTGCATTGCAACACACTCAAC